ATAATAATTAATCAAATTTAAAATATATAGTATAAAAATTAAAAAATAAACAATTTTTTTTTTATATTTATAATAATTAAAATCTTTTAAATAAACTTTTTTAATTTAATTGTATTATAATTATTTGAATTATATATTAAGATTATTCTTTTGTTATATTGTCTTTATCTTAATCTTTATACTTATAAAATTTAATAAAAAACAAAAAATATGATCTATATATTTTTATAAAATATATTATATATATTTTGTTTATATTTCTATTAATAAAAAATTAATCAATTCAAATTTTTAATTAACCAATCTATTCAAAATCTAAAAATTTATTTATTTATTTTTAACTTTCAGTCAGGTTAGCATAGTATATCTTTATTATATATATGCTAGGTATTTACAAATTATTGTGATTTTCACATACTGACTCACTTATTGTTGAAAAGCTATTTCTCTAAATGCAATCTAGAGAATGATATTTCACTCCTTTACTAATTTGGATAAATCTTTTAATTAATAAAATCATTGTCTACAGGTCATTACTGTAGATCATTCTAAGTTTTGTCTGCAGTTAAAAACTGAACCACTTTATTTCATGACAAACCCAATCCTTAAAAATCACCATATATTTTTTTCTTCTATTTTTATTAGAATAAGTAAATTTTTTAGTAACTTATTAGAATTTACTATAAATAATTAATATTTATAATTAGAAAAATTAAATATAAAATAATTAAAGTTTATACTGTATAATAAGATTACTTTTTAATATAAAGATATTTAATATAATTTCTGTAAATATTTTTGAAGAATTGAAATACTGAAATAATATTTTAGAAACAATTCTTTTTTTTAAACTAATAAAATACTAGTATTAATATCAAAAATATTTTTTTATAAATAAATATGAATCTATAAAGGTGAAAGCAAAAACAAAAATCAAATATTCTTTAATAAAATATATTAAAATTTTTAAATTAATAATTATGAAAAAACTATTTACAATAGTTTTTTATTATTTAAATTATTGATTTATAGTATTTTTAAAATTTTGTTTCTATTAAAATAAAGAGATATTAATTTTGTTTTTCAAAAAAGGACATAAGTAATCTGTAAAATTTTATATTGTATATTAAATACTTTATAAATCTATTATTATCTATAGAATTTGAATTGCAATCTTTTTTCTTTAAAGAATTATAAAGATTTATTTAACAACAATTTGATTGAATATATATAAAGATATAAATTTAGATTTGATAGCACTTTTATTTTCTTTCTTGTCCATATTTTATTTTTAACGCCTGTTACTTGGCAATTAGGATGCAAAACCCTGTAGTGGGTGGTAATATATTATCAATAAAGTTCATCTTATATTGACTTTTGCTATATATCTTCTTTGAATATACAGTACTAGTTAGATTACGATATACTGTTTCTTTAATTTAATAAAAATAGATTGTACCAGTTTTTAGAAATAAATTATTCGATATTAATATTGAAATCCAGTCTTGAGCTGATCTTACTAGATAGATTATATTCTAAAAATATTATTAATATAATGGTTATAACCCAAGGTTTTAATAAAGTCTCATATTTAATGATTATTTGTGTTTTTTTTTTAAAAAAAAAAAAGGAAATTTATTATCTTATTGGGTTGAACATCTCAATTTCTTGATTTAGATCCTATAAACAATTTATGAAACAAAGTTGATAAGTTGATAACCATTTGAGAATATTACCTGATTCAATTTTTAACTAGAATAACTTGTGGGACTTTTGCAATAAGCTTATAGACACTATGCCAGAATGATTTAAAGATGTTATCAAAACATGATGTGAATATACTAGATGGTAAACGTTAATAAATCTAATTTTTTCCATTCGCACGTGCTGTATATAAATCTATTTAAGCTACTGTGAAAAATTCGAACGGTAAAAAAATCGATCAAAAAATTTTTCGGCAGTTGATTTTTTCTGCGGGTTCTTACTACGTTAATCAATATTAATACCATACGATACAGTGAATGCCATTAATATAATGGACCTTGTAATTCTTCGCTATGGAGTTCAACGAAGCTGGGATACAAGCGAAAACTCGTAATCACATAATAACCAACCAAGTCGCACGGCATGTGGCATGTACCTACTAAATTAAAATTTCCCTTGTTTAGATAACAGTAATACAAATACAAGAATTCAGAATAACAAGTACAACGATTAATATACACATGTTCCTTCCAAAAGGAAAAATCGGCATGTATTTTGATACAAAAAACCACCCGCATCGAATCTTTCTTCGATTTGCCAAAAATTCTTTTTCTTCCCTTTTACTCACCCTTTCCCTTTCCGAGAGTCTGCTCGAAAATAAAGAAGCACATATTCTTGATAATATCAAGAATTGTGTTTATCTCCCTCCGTATTTTTGATCCATCAATTCTTTCCTTTCGTTACCCTTCCTTTTCCTTACAGACTAACAGGATCAACGGAGAATTCAATTTAAAAAGATGAACGTGTTCCTGAAAAGAACGACACTTCTATTTGTGGTTATCTTAATTATAACCCAAATTATAGAAGCTGTGAGTTTACAAAAGCAGCCTCCTGTGAAGAAATCAAATTCACTCGCCGAGACTGCATCCTCCGAACCAATAAAATCCGTATCCCCTAAAACAACCACTATACTCGGTGTTGTTCATGCAGCTTCGATATCTACTCACTCATCCACTCATACCACCACTCGCTCATCTGCTCATGCTACCACTTCATCTTCACTCACTAACAAGAAAACCGTTCGTGCAGCTGCTGCATCTTCCCGCCACTCATCTTCCCGCCACTCATCTTCCCGCCACTCATCTTCCCGCCACTCATCATCTTCCCACCACTCATCTTCCCGCCACTCATCTTCCCACCACTCATCTTCCCGTCACTCATCTTCCCACCACTCATCTTCCCGCCACTCATCTCCCCTCGCTAAAAAGAAAACCACTACTTCCATTCGTGCAGCTACTGCCTCACACTCATCTACCCATACTACTACCACTTCGTCTACTCATACCACCACCTCTACTCATACCACCACTTCATCTACTCACTCGTCTATAACTACCACCACCTCCTCAACGCACACCACCACCACCTCATCTACGCACACCACCACCACCACCACCACCTCATCTTCGCACACCACCACCACCACATCCACAACATCCACCACCACCTCATCTTCGCACACCACCACCACCACAACATCCACAACAACCACCACCACAACATCCGGTCTCTATCCCATCGACCTTAGTACAACAAATCCTTGTCGTTCGTTTACTGACGATTTCACTAACTCACGTATTGTGGAATTTTATAATTATAATGGAGATCCTTCATCAGCAGATTGGATCAATCTTAGTGGTAGTCCAAATGCCTACACCCTAGCGAATGGTCAATTACAAATGCATTTATTCAAACCTGCCGATACACAACAAGCAAATTCTCCTCAAGGACCATATAACTTGGCCGCAGGTATGGGCTCAACGTTTAATAGCTCATACAAAATGCATTATGGAACAGCGGAAATTACAATGCAATGTATTGGCGTTGGTGGAGTCGTCAATGCTTTTATCGTGAGTATGGAAGTTAACGAATTGTAACATTTCAATATTACAATATCTTAATCAAGATCATTTATGATGATTTTTCTCCTTAAATTGTTTAGACAATGGCACCGGATAACGCTGACGAAATCGACTGGGAAATGGTAGGAGGAGATGTACAACACGGTCAAAGTAACTTTTTCTGGAACAATGATCATCTCTATGGTGTTAACAGTCAAACTCACTCCGTTCCCGGAGGTCCCATCAACACCACTTCATATACCTTTGGTATTAACTGGGGACCAGATTCACTTACATGGCTAATTAACGGTGTGCCCGTGCGCACAGTGAACCGTGCAGACACGCTGACAAATGGTGTTTACATGTATCCAAGTCATCCTTCTTACATACAATTTGGAGTTTGGGATAGTAGTACCTCGCCGACTACTACTCAATGGGCCAATGGACCAATCGATTGGAATTCACAACCTTCTGTATTAACAAATTATATTTCTCAAATCAAGATCACGTGCGATCCAAATTACAACCAAGTTGTTTAATAATTGTATATCTTAAGGCCAAGATAATAGAAAAATGGAATGTGTAATAAATTGGTTTGGTGTTAACTTTATTTAAATAAAATTTAATGTAATATGTTGATAGACATTGAATGTTCTGTTTTATACTGTATGTATATTTTTATATCGTATGTGAATACGTGTCGCTTGGAAATCTAATGTCTAGATTTAGATTTCAAGCAAAATAACCTAATAATGCAAAATATTGTTTTAGTTATAATAATTGTTAGTAAAAGTATTTGGTAACTTCAAAGTTGAAAATTTATACCATTCGATTCAGGATCCAACTATTGATTTTCTATTATATAGCAAATAAAAATTGTATACAATGTGAGGAATTTAGAATTTATATAAGTATTTTTTTTATCTACAGTTATTTCAAAAAATTGGCTTTTTAAAAAATGTTAATATACGAGTTTTAAATTTATTAACAAATTTTATACTTGATTTATATTGATAAAAATATAAAGTATTTTTTTTAAATACACACAACTTTACCCATTTTAATGGTTATATGCATTGTATATACTTTCATTTACAAAGCAATTTTATAAACTATTTTTATGCTTAGAGAAATAATAAAACCAATTGGTATCTTTCTTATTGTGGT